TACACTTGTCCATGTTAAACCCCATCCTGTTCTCCTCCGCATATGGCATAGACCTCTATTTTCTTCTGTCTTGGAGCAAGTTGCAGGGCATGGGTGGGGAGTTGGAAATTAATTTTACTCTTGGATAGAAGAAACAACTTGCAAAATGTAGATCAGAAGACTGTTCCTCCTGCACTGGCTATCCATTGTTCCCTTTTCTGTTTAGAATAACAATTTCCAGAGTTGCTGCTTAGAAAAAGTTTCTGGAGCAGAAAACCCTATCCCCTTTGTGGAAAATACCTAGCATGCATTTATTCAGATTATTCATAGATTTTATTACAATTTTTTGTAAGAATGTATGTCTCTACAGACCTCTTGATCCATATGGGAGCATGTCTAGTCATTACCATATTATAAATTATCTATTGCGATTAGAAAATTAACTTTCACTTAACTTGTACTTGCTCTTTGTATGTATAATGGGGAGGAGGGGTTAACAATTATGATTTTAGCTGTAGAGAATGGTCCCTTCTAATAAAGATTTTCTTTTGTTTCAGAATTCTGGGATTGAGAAAGCCTTTTTATTTGATGTAGTCAGTAAAATTTACATTGCGACAGACAGTACTCCAGTGGATATGCAAACTTACGAGCTGTGTTGCGACATGATAGATGTTGTTATTGATATTTCTTGTATCTATGGGTAAGTAGATTGTAAACTGTGTTTATTAAACTTTTTTAGACACCTTTTTAGATAAAAGTATTGTAGAGCAATCAAACTGAAGACCTAAAGAACAGAATGATTTTCTTTATAAACATTTGTAAAAGGATGGTCTCCTAGAATATCCCAAATAGGCATGCTATCCTATGGAGACTTTAAGCAAGTTAGTACCTGTTATAACATACAAATGGGAAGAAATCGTGGTTTTTAAAATTACATTCTTTCAATTCCAGTGTAGAGCTTGGAACACATCTTAAAAAGACAGAGAGAGAGAGAGAGAGAGAGAAAGAAGTCCAGCAACAGATTACTATTTTTGTTTGTTTTTGCTACCAAATGAATCATAGAAATTAAGGGTTGGCAGGGATCTCAGAAGAACCCCCTTGCTCTGGGCAGGAATACTGCCGAGATCAAATTATCCCAGCAAGGTGTCTGTCCAGTTTCCTTTTGAAGACTTCCGAGGTTGGGGACTGCACCGCCTCCTTGGAAAGTCTATTCCAGATTCTGGTCACCCTTATTGTAAAGTCACCCTTCCTCGCATCCAATCTAAAACCATCCTCTAACAGTTTATGGCCATTGCTCTTTGTCATCCCCTGGGGCACCCTAGTGAACAGTTTTTCTCCAAGCTCCCGATATTCACCTTTTATATACGTATAGACCACCAAGTCCCCCCTCAGTCTTCTCTTCCCCAGGCTGAACAGTCCCAGATCCCTTCATCTTTTCTCATAAGCAGGGATTCTGGTTTTCTCTGATAAAAAAAAAAAAAATCCCCAATTTGCAGTTTAAAAAAAAGTAACCCCAAATCCACATTTTTCCATGATTTAAATGAAACACCACTATATATATCCATTTTAATCATGGAAAAATGTGGATTTGGGGTTACTTTTTTTAAACCGAAAATTGGGAATTTTTTTAAATCAGAGAAAACTGGGATCCCTGGTCATAAGGTTTGTCTTCCAGGCTCTTAATCCTTCTTGTGGTCCTTCTCTGGACCCTTTCAAGATTCTACACATCTTTTTTGAAGTGCAGTGCCCAAAGCTGGACACAATACTCCAGCTGGTGTCTTAGCAGCGCTGAGTAGAGAGGACGTATCATTTCCTGAGCCCTGTTTGCGATGCATTGGCTAATGCATCCCAATATGCAGTGTCGCACTTGTGGCTTATGTTCATTCTGTGATCATCCATAACCTCGAGTTCCCTTTTAGCCATTGTGCTGGCCAGGACATCTCCTCCTAACCTATATTCGTGTCACTGGTTACTTCTCCCCAGATGAAGCACTCTGAATTTATCCTTATTGAACTGCATCCGGTTCCGCTCCACCTACCTTTCCAGCTTGTCCAGGTCCGCTTGGATACCCGTAACTTAGTCCCCATAACATAGTATCCTGTACAAGACTCAGACAGATTCCTTTCCACATCCTCATCTAAATTGTTGATAAAGATGTTGAACAGCATGGGGCCAAGAACCTAACCCTACGGGACACCACTGGCCACCTCCCTCCAAGACGATACAGAGCAGTCCACTAACACTTTCTGAATTTGACCCCTTAGCCAGTTCCCAACTCACCTGACCATGGACTCTGCCAGCCCACAATCTCCCAGTTTTTTTTATAAGAGCATCATGAGAGACCATATCGAAGGCCTTTTTAAAATCCAAGTATTTGACAGTAACTATGTCTCCCACATCCAAGAAGGATGTCTCATCCCATCATAGAAGGAGACAAGGTTGGTCAGACATGACCTGCTCACAACAAAACCATGTTGGCCATCACTCAGCAGCATGCCTTCTCCCAGTCTCTCATAAATGGACTTCTTGATAATTTTTTCCAAAATTTTACCCAGTATTGAGGTCAGATTGACTGACTTACAGTTTTCCAGATCCTCCTTCCTCCCCTCTTAAAGATTAGCACCATATTGGCCCTTTTCCAGTCTTCAGGGATCTCTCCCAAGAACCACCAGTCTTCAAATATCTTCGCCAGTGGTTCTCCAGTGACTCTAGCCAATTCCCCCAGCACTCTCTGGTATAGTCCATCGGGTCCTGCTGACTTGAAGGCATTCAGCTGCTCTAAGTGCTCCCTCATTAGTAGGGATCCTGGTTTTCTCTGATTTAAAATTCCCCTATTTTCATTTTAAAAAAGTAACCCCAAATCCACATTTTTCCGTGACTTAAATGAAGCACCACTATTATATAGATCTGTACTGGCTATGCCCTTCTGGCGCTGGGCTTACTGGCCCCCAGTTCCTGTGCACCTCTGGTGCCAGGCCCTCCGGCCTAGTGTCTCCGCACTCTTCTGGCACTCTCTGGCCCATATAGCTGTGCTACTCTTGGCACTAATGAGGTCTCCACCTCCCCTATAACCTTGTCCACAAACTGCTTGTTCAAATAACAACACAGACATAAGCCCTTGAGCTATAACATAACGCTAACAATGAAGACTATGTTTTGCCCCTTTAAGAAGGTAAAACTCCCACCTTAGGATAGTGTGTCTCCTAGTGTGTAGGTTCCTAGAGGCTTAGTCCTTATAAGCAGCAAAGCAAGTGACCAAAGGTCTCTGGGTAGCTCTCTGAGGCCATGCTCCTTCCCTTGGCAGTCTCCAGAGCGAGTGTAACAGGGCACTAAAATGTGCCTGCTCCTTAAGGCTGAAGAAGCCTGGCCAAGGAGCTCTGCAGGCTAAATAGAGCTCTGCAGCTGTAGGTTGCCAGGGTAACAGCCTAAGGGAGTAATGGGCCACATCTGCTGACATCACCTGACTGGCAGGAGGCAGGGTTCTGGGATATTTAAGCCTAGGCTGTAGCTAGCAGACACACACTCTCTCTCTAGCAACTGACAGGGAAGGAGCTCCTGCCTGCTGAAGCTACTTTAGACCTGGTGCTGCTTGCCTAGCTCTCCCAGTATGGCCTGCTCTGCTATCTAGGTATTACATGACTACAGGGAGTCTCCCAGGTACCTAGAATAGGGGCATGTTACTCTGAGTAGAAGTTTGTCGTATAGCACAGGGGCTTGCGTGTGTGTTCATGTTTGGCCTGGAGGATCAGGATGAGTCTAGAAGGGGAGGTTTGGAAGCCTCATTAGTGCCTAGAGAGAGAGGGCATATGATTTGATAGAGCCCAGCGTCAGGCACAGTGAGCCCAGAGTGCTGGGGGGTGGGGTGCAGCCACAGAGGCTCAGTGAGCCCAGAGGGGCGCAAATACAGTAGGGTCGGGGCTAGTCCATAGCGCCAGAGGGGTACAGCCAGAGGGTTGCAGCACCCATAGCGCCAGAGGGTTATAGCACCAGAGGGACGCAGCTAAGGGGATGCAGAGCCAGGTGCCCAGGAGGGAGGCACTGAGACACGCATCTGCAAGAAAGGCACAGAAAGTCAGTCACCAGAGAAACCAGTGACTACTTGTTGCAGAGAGGCAGGAGCCAGAGGGTTCAGTGCCAGGGATGTATAGAGTTGATGACGATAGTAATACCTGCAAGGCATGGAACACGTGTAGGGAAGATTGGAGAGTGTATGTACTGCTTGGCATAGCTGAGTGCATGAAGAGCAGGCTCCTGCCTAATAAACAACTTAATTATTTACCTACAAGGCATGGCAGGCGAGATAGGCGGACGGACTGTCCAAGACAGGTGGGTAGGCCGATGCAGAGTGTGGCCTCAGGACGGCCCCCTGTCACAGAGTGTGAAACTGCTAGCTCCAGCCCTGAGCTTATATATCCCCAGAGCCCTGCCTCCTTCCAGTCATCTGACCGCCTGCAGGTGCTGGCCAGCTATTCCTTTAGGCTGTTGTTTAGGCAATCTGTAGCTGTGGAACTCTGCCTACCCTGCAGTGCTCTCTGGCCAGGCAGCTTCTGCTGTTAAAGAAGCAGGCACAGCTTAGTGCCCTGCTACAGAGGTCACCCATGACAAACATGTCCTTTGAATGTGGAGCCTCCGTCAGTTCTCTAAAACATTCCAGATCCAGCTGCTGCTTCTGGTGTAGCGGTCTGTAGTAGACGCTGATAATCAAGTTTCCTTCCCCTTGTCTCCCCCTTCTTCCCCCCACCTCCCAGTATCTTGACCCACAGAGTCACTTGAACCAGTTTGGGTCTCTGAGGCGACATACTACTCCTTTACATAGAGAGCTACACCTCTTCCCTTCTTTCCTACCCGATCCATTCTGTGCAGCCTGTAGTCCTCTATGAATACAGCCCAGTCATACATGGCATCCCTGAACACATGTTCCTTCATGAATTTTACAGCTGCCTTAAGTTCTCATATTCTCATCCCTTTTCATTAGCAGGCTTAGCTAAATTTGAGGCTGGGGGCAGAAAGAAAAGGACTACAAGGTATTTTTTCTTCCAAAATTCCTTTTGATATAGGGTGATTCTGAGAGATGTGGAATATTCATTATTCCCAACTAAAGCAAGACCATCACGTAACAGAAACAATATATTTAGGAACCGGCTTCTTAAGGCCAACTCAAATAATGTCAATATACATGATAGTTTTTGATACAGTAACCTGAATTGGAGTAGAATACTTACATAAAATTGTTTTGCTCTTTAGAAGTCTTTTCTATACCTTCACACTTGAAGTTTTGTAATGTTATAAAAACTAGTGCCTTGCAAGTTTCAGACAACAAAGGGTTTATTTTTGTGACATTACTTTGTCAGGGAAACACATGCTTCTGTAAAGTATGGTATCATATTTACTTGAATATTGACAACCCTGATTATAAAACATAGCAAATTGCAACAGCTATGTTTATTTCAAGGTCAGTTTTTTTCAAATATTTTCCTCACTTCCATGTGCTCAGGAAGAGCATGGTCTGACAGTAAGGAGGTGGGGAGAGAGGTTGTAGGGGGAAGAAGTTGGGAGAGGACAAAGGGGATACCTGAACCTGCGGATTGATTTTTCCATGCTGTGATAGTGGCAGGTTAACAAATTCAAGACAAACCTCCAATAATTAGATTCTATATAAGGAAAATTTACAAATTGGATATAATTTTCCAGGTATAGAAT